TATTTACAGACTAGTGGGTTTTTTTTTCCCAGAGAAAAAGGCAAGCGACTGAAGAGAGATCGCAGTTTCCATCAGCAACCGAGGACGGTTGAGAGGAACTGGCGGGGGGGGCCGAGCCGCGCTCGTTGGAAAGGGCGCGAACAACCAGCAGCGCAGGGAGCATGCGTGGCCCGGCCCGGTATGGCTTTGAAAGCTTCCGATCAGTGGCGCCGGGACGGACCCGACACCTAGAGTGGAGCACCCACGGGGCCACTCGAAGAAGAAATATGAGTGTTCAGAAAACATTACAATTCTGATACAAACCCAAGGCAATTTGATGTTAAAGATGACAGCATCCTTAACTTATACATGGTCCTAATTCACACTACAAAATTTGTCTAAAGTTTACAGTGAACCCTCGTTTATCGCGGTAGATAGGTTCCAAACCCGACCGCGATAGATGAAAATCCGCGAAGTAGGATCCTCAAAGCCGCGGAGGGGCTCCGGCGGGGGAGCAGCCCAGGCGCGCCTGGGCTGCTCCCCCGCCGGAGCCCCTCCGCGGCTTTCAAAGCCTCGGGGGAAGCCGGCGGGGGGGGGAGCAGCCCAGGCGCGCCTGGGCTGCTCCCCCGCCGGAGCCCCTCCGCGGCTTTCAAAGCCTCGGGGGAAGCCGGCGGGGGGGGGAGCAGCCCAGGCGCGCCTGGGCTGCTCCCCCGCCGGAGCCCCTCCGCGGCTTTCAAAGCCTCGGGGGAAGCCGGCGGGGGGGGGAGCAGCCCAGGCGCGCCTGGGCTGCTCCCCCGCCGGAGCCCCTCCGCGGCTTTCAAAGCCTCGGGGGAAGCCGGCGGGGGGGGGAGCAGCCCAGGCGCGCCTGGGCTGCTCCCCCGCCGGAGCCCCTCCGCGGCTTTCAAAGCCTCGGGGGAAGCCGGCGGGGGGGGGAGCAGCCCAGGCGCGCCTGGGCTGCTCCCCCGCCGGAGCCCCTCCGCGGCTTTCAAAGCCTCGGGGGAAGCCGGCGGGGGGGGGAGCAGCCCAGGCGCGCCTGGGCTGCTCCCCCGCCGGAGCCCCTCCGCGGCTTTGAGGATCCTACTTCGCGGATTTTCATCTATCGCGGTCGGGTTTGGAACCTATCTACCGCGATAAACGAGGGTTCACTGTACCACCACAATTTGTTTGCATGTATCCAAACTCAAATATGAATCCTGACAGCAAAACCCAGGCATTCTGTTGCCAAAATAAAATCACCTCCCTGAATGACTAAAGTCCTCACCCAACAAACATCTGCAAGTAGGAATACCAGTGTGGGTACTGCCTGTGGCAGTAAGACCATTCCTGCAATGGCTGTGTCCCTATGACAATGACTGCTTCGCTCACAATTCGGGGGAGGGGAAGGGAGGAGTCCACAGTAATGAGAAACCCACCCCAACCTTTAAGACTTCTTGGCATCTTAGACATTCCACTTTTGCTGTTATTCCCATTTGCAAGAGCATCTAGCGCTCTAGATCAGCACAGTTCAGCAGAAAGTGATGTCATGAAGTTAAGAGGGGGAAAACTCAGTAGTAGCCAATAAGGACTTGCTTAGAGGAGTGATTCAAATCCCATAGAAAACTAGCTCTTTGAAACATAGCTGAACCTGATCAAGACAAGCCTAAAGAGGAAGAAGGCAACATAGGGAGGTGTACTGCAGCATGATTAAGTCCATTGTTTTCACTGTGCCCAAAACCTCCCCCACCAGTACACATCCCCGCATTCCAAATGGCATTCATTTATGTAATTAGAGAACAAAGGAATTCACCTTGAAAGTAGCCAGTTTTTAAAATAAACTTGTATTAGTGATAAAATAAGAGTCTAAGTCAGCATGTTTGGCATCATGGTAGAATTTCAGCATTACAAAACACTAACATACTAGAAAAACCAATTATTACAATCTCACCATAACAATGAAGTTCACAGGAAATTAAAAATCTCTTATAAGCAACCCAGTGATTGTCCAACCATAATACCTGATTTTTAAGAATCAGCATGTAATGCAGACACCAAAAAACAGTACTCTGAGTTACAAGTCCATTTTCCCCAGATCAAAAGAAATCCCTCTCATGTGCTGCTTGAATAGAGGTAGAGATTAGGTCACTGGCTCCAGGATTCTTGTCTTTGACTTCTGGTATTATGCATTGGGAAAAAACCTTCACCCTTGAGGAATATTTTACTGAAGTTTATACAATCTTCATAAATCTAGGAGACATACTCAGGTCCTTATCCAGACATTTCTAGGAAGGCTGAGCTTGCATCTCCCTCGATAGGAGACCTTGCTATACTATGAGATGATTCCAATTAGCATGACCACTGAACAGGGCAGGGCAGCCCTGAGTCACATTATTTTGACCTTTGTCACTCCTACGAGTGAGTGGTATCAGCCACAGTCACCTCTTCCTCTAACAATTTTAGCTACTCTTACTACGAGGTTCATATGCCTATGCTAGGACAACCAGTAGCCCCCAACCTTCATGACTATGGACTTACAAAGAGAACCTCATGTTACTCACCATGCCAGGAGCTACAGAGCAGTTGCAAAGAAAACTGAACCAAAACTAATCTGACTACCACATACTTTATAAAGATCTTTTTAGGGCATTTTGAAACTTCTCTCTTCCTTTCTACTCCCATTGTAAGTCTACAATCTCTACGTTTTTGTACATCACACTCCTTGGCTTCAGTGTCCTTGACAGCCACCCACTCACATCTGATAGAAGACTGGCACAGATCAAAAGAAGTGGGAAAGTGAAGATGTGTCTACAGCAGGGTTGGGCAATAATTTTTGCCCAGGGACCACTTTAAAAATGTTTGAAGTAGCCCTGGGCGAGGCCTAAACAGGAAGGGACGGAGCTACTCATCCTCCTCCAAGGGCCGGGGCAGGGCAAAGGAAGATTTACACAGCTCCCCCGCCCCAGGTCCTGATTGGCCTGGGGGCAGGGGAGCATGCAAAGCCTCCTCCACTCTCCCCCCCAAGACCACACACTCCAACATCACCCACACACAAGGTACTAGCACAATCTGCAGGCTTTTCCCAACAATTTTTTGATGGCAGAAAACATGCATACACTGACCTGTGAATAATTCAAGGTCAAGCCAACACCAAGCAGTTTACTTAGTTAACACTAGTAATATAGGTATAAAGTTTAATATGGTTAAAGTTTAATATGTTGCTAATAAGTTTGTTAATTGTTAATTTGCACACAACTGGTTTTCTGGAAAAAATCTTTATTGGGTGTCAAACAAATGTTAAGACCAAGCCATCACTTACTCTCACCAAAAACATAACAGATATTTATAAATAATTTATAATACATATTTAAGGCGAAACACAAAGTAATGCACCATAATAATGATGTACTGTTAAAGCAATCTTTTAAGGCCTGCCTCAGCCACATAGTTCTTTTATGGGCTCTGGTTATTGCCCTGTGTGTCTGTTCAATATCAGCAGCCTTTCTATATCCCACTTCCACCATGACAGTAAAGTTCTCCCTTCCCTTTGCTTCATAAATATTATGCAATGCATAACATGTCACAACAAGAATAGCTGCCTCACTGAGATCCAGCCTTTCCATAAGACATTGCCAGAGACTTTTCAACCTAGCAAAAGCAAATTTAACAGTTATCCTGCACCACATCAGACATTAAATTAACTTTCCTTACTAATGCAGGCATCCACTACAGGCAGTCCCTGGGTTACGTACAAGATAGGGACTGTAGGTTTGTTCTTAAGTTGAATTTGTATATAAGTCGGAACTGGTACATATTGTAGGGGAAACTCTAGCCAAACATTTCTCCAGAGCTCAGTTTTATTCTCCCACACCTCACTTCCCTCAGTCCTTTATTCGCAAGCTGAGGTGTCTGCTGAGAAAAACTGCTCCGCGTCTCCCTGGTCTGCTGGGGGGCGCTAGCTTCACGTCTCCCTGGTCTGCTGAGGGGAAGCAGCTAGTGCGGGGTTGCCTCACCCCGTTTGTAAGTAGGGATCCGATGTAAGTCGGATCCATGTAACCCAGGGACTGCCTGTATATGGTTTAATAAACAAGAGAAGCAAAGGATAGGTTTCAATGCCCAGAATCACTACCAGCATTTCAACCCCACCTTATACGACTGTCTGGAAAGTATGTCCATGTTTGTATCTTTTGGAAAAATCCAGTCTACCTAAAATGCATTTGCTACACCTCTCTGTCTATCCAAGAGTGATGTCAGTAAAATGTACCCAATGATGCACCAGTATTTGCACAGCTATGGCAAGGCTGCATAGCCCAGAACTAGAATTTGCATCTCCTTTATAGCTTTACACACACAGCCTCTTTCTCAGGACCACCACAACAAATCCTTCTGCTATTTCTTGCACTTTGCCCAGAGTCACAATATTGTGTGACACAAAAGGCTTCAGGGCCATGCACACCAGCATGACAACTGTCCCCACAGTAGATTTTACAAAATCTAAATGGACTGCCCACAGTCTAGTAGTATGTGGCTGAAAGTTTCCAGAGAATGATTGCTAGATGCTTTTCCACCGTCAAAGCAGCTCTCATTCTGGTGTCACTCTACTGGATGGCTTGGATACAATTTTGTAGCCACTGCTGACTGGCACAGATGCGTATCACAATGTGATGTGTTCCACTACTCAGCACTTGTTTCTTGGACCCACTGTGTGGAGCTGATTAACAAATGTCAGAAGCCTCAAAATGCTTCAATGCACCGTCCACATCCATTTGCTCATCCTCCTTAGTATGTCCCGTCTCACCTTCAAAGTGCCACTGGTCGGTTTTACAGTCACTGAAGTTCTGCAAATACAAAATAACCACATCCTGTCTCTACAAGACAAGAACTCCATTTAACTGTCCTGGACACATGATTCTAATTAGTGAGATGGCAAAGAGAACAAAAGCAGTACAATGAACAGTGGGAATTATTAAAAAGGCATGAAAATGATCATCTAGAAGAAGCTTTATGGGATGGAAGAAAAGGGATTAGTGGGAACCTGGGTGTTCCACAAAGCACTGCACTGGACAGTGGTGCTGGGACATTGAGATGCCTATCCACAATGCACCATAGCATCTGCCAATACAACCTCTTATGATGAGATGCCAGCAAGAAGAGTCAAGAGTACATGCACTCTTGACACCATATAAGCAACTGTAAACTAGCAAAACGTCTGGTGATAAGAACATAAGAATAGCCATACTGGTCAAAGGTCCATCCAGCCCCAGAAGGAGTGAACCAAACAGGTAATGATCAAGCGATCCTTCTCCTGCCATCCATCTCCACCCTCTGACAAACAGAGGCTAGGGACACCATTCCTTACCCACCCTGGCTTAACCTCCATGAATGTATCTAGTTCTCTTTTAAACCCTGTTATATTCCTAGCCTTCACAACCTCCTCAGGCAAGGAGTTGCACAGGTTGACTGTGCGCTGTGAGAAGAAGAACTTCCTTTTATTAGTTTTAAACCTGCTCCCCATTAATTTCACTTGGTGGCCCCTAGTTCTTATATTATGGGAACAAGTAAATAACTTTTCCTTATTCACTTTCTCCACTCATGATTTTACAGACCCATATCATATTTCCCTCCCCCCCTTAGTCTCCTCTTTTCCAAGCTGAAAAATCATAGCTTCTTTAATCTCTCCTCAAATGGGACCTGTTCCAAACCCCTAAAATCATTTGAGTTGCCCTCCTCTGAACATTTTCTAATGCCGGTATATCTTTTTAGAGACGAGACCACATCCGTATGCAGTATTCGAGATGTGGGCGTACCATGGATTTATATAAGGGCAATAAGATATTCTCCGTCTTATTCTCTATTCTTTTTTAATGATTCCTAACATTCTGTTGGTTTTTTTGACTGCTGCTGCACACGGCGTGGACATCTTCAGAGAACTATCCACGATGACTCCAAGATCTTTCCTGATTAGTTGTAGCTAAATTAGTCCCCAATCATATTGTACATATAGTTGGGGTTATTTTTTCAAATGTGCATTACTTTACATTTATCCACATGAAATTTCATTTGCCATTTTGTTGCCTAATCACTTAGTTTGAGAAGATCTTTTTGAAGTTCTTCACAGTCTGCTTTGGTCTTAACTACCTTGAACAGTTTGGTAATCATCTGCAAACTTTGCCACCTCACTGTTTACCCCTTTCTCAATACGTTGAATAGGATGGGTCCTAGGATGAATCATTCTAGTGTATAGACAGCCTGAGCTGAGTTTTTAAATAGAAAACAAAAGAACAAGAACTGGTATATTTATAATACTTTGGCTGCTTGAATTAGAAAAATCTTAGGAAAAAGTGTGCAGATTTATTTAAGAGTCTTTAGAGTAAGTTGTAAAGATTTTTCACTACATAAATAGTTTGAAGAATGATAAGCATGCTTCATATCAGCTATCCCTTACATATAAAGCAACTGATACTTATCCATCTACTTATACACAATTATTATGGGCAATACAACTGAGATGCATCTAGCTGTGTTAAACAGGTAAAGATGAACAAATTACTTCTTTGAGGAGCTTCCTTAAGTACCTACTAATTTAAAGATTATAAAGTTAGCTTCACCAGTCTTGATCAGTTTAGATTTTTGGATTTACTGAAACACTGATGCTAATGTTTCAATGAAAAACTATTGGTTAAACATCAAATTTCCTGTTTTACTGCTATATTATGTATTCAGACAGTACAATGGAAGAAGTTCCTCAAATAGGATACTTTCAGAAAAGACTACTGAAAAAACATATTTAAGGCATAAAACTCATAATAAATTCAAGCTGTGCATATGATTGAACATATTTGAAGCTGAGTGAACAATACTCTTGCTCATCCTGGCTTTCACAACATCAATGCAATATAGAGTAAGTGCCATCTTACAAATTACAAAATTTTACAGACTGCATGTACCACCCTTTTATAGATGATATGATATTGGATGATATGATAAGAGCATCTTTAAAAGATTTATTGAAATATCAAAGGGAAAAACATGTTTGAAACTGACCAATTTAAAATCCAGTAAATGTACCTTCTCTAAGAATGAAATCACAGAGACCCAGATACTCAGGAAAGAATTGAATAGATAATAAAGATGACAGCAGTACAAGCAACACCTGGAAAACTACTGCCTACTGAGAATACATGGCTGAATGTAAAAAAAAATTACCTTTGGCCAGAGATATCAAATATAAATGCAGTAGAGAAATAATTCATTGTCAAATGAATTCACTAGTTAATAGAATGCATGTCAGCAAAAAATAAAACCTAAGCAAGGTGAAAACTGAGCCCACAGAAACATTTCTATGGATTCTCTCAACTTTTCATACAATTCATAAAAAGTATACATTAATACCATATACAGAACACAGTAACAAATTAAAATCAGCAATAGCTCTCTTTTTCTTGGGGGGGGAGGAGGAAGTTAAAAAATGAAGATAAACATACCTTTTCCAGAACTGCATGATCCACTAAACACATCAGTTTGGAACAAATGTCAGGTGCCTAATGCAAGAGAGAGCTTGGAAAGTTATATTTAAAAAGAAGTGTGACCTCATTAAATGAGATCACAAGCAGCCACCTGCGAATCTTTGCCCTCTTAAAATGGCCCATTACTTAGAAATCATGAGTTTAACACGAGCTCTGAGAGACACCATTTCAAAATGATTATCAGAGCATGTATGGTCATTTAGCCAACTCTATTTTAGAAAATTAAATTTTTATTTTTTTTTGAAGTGGGAATATATAAAAGAGAGAGATAAGAGAACAAGATCAGATGTGACAGAGCAAAATATCTTCTCAAAAGAAAACAAACACACAACTGCTTTAGACTTCAGAGTGAACAAAAAAGGAAAGATTCTAATTACATTTCTTATTGGAATTGTGTTTATTTCCACCATGCCATAAGAATTATTTCAGAAGAAATGTGAAGAGTTGTCGGCAAAAAATTTTTTAGTGTATGGGATGAAAAACCTTAATTCAAGGAAAACTATCTACATCAGCACTTGTATCTAAAACCCGGTGATCAAAATTTCAATTGTTTTTAGAGCCTACAGATTTTTTTTAAACTATTCTTCAATGAGATAATCTCAAACTATGTAAGGATTCCAGCCTCTTGATTTTCTCATGTCAGTCTCCATTCTCATTTTAGCAGTTCCAACACACAGGCACTAATCTTGCTCTTTACTGTAGACTCAGATAATCTTCAAGTTTTTTTTTTATGATGAAATCCACCTACTTTGAAAATGGGAATGGTAATAAGAGATCAAATGGATTTTTAGCAAGTACTACCTATGTTGGTTTCAAAATAAAGCAACTCTGATCGGAAAGAAGGCTTGTATTAGTTTCCACCCCATTCTATCCTTGGTCCTACTTATTAATGGACAAAAACTAAATATGAAGATTTTAAGTTAGAAAACATATAATGTAGACTGCCAGTGTTTTTTATGACTTCTATGGGGTGATCAAAACACCATTCCCATGTTACCCTCACTCTCTCTTCATAGTGAGGTCTTTCACCACATTATGTACTTGAAAAATACAAAAGCAAGTTAACAAATGGCTATAAGGTTACCAATATATTCCATCCATTATCTTTGGACCTCTATTGCTAGAAATATTATTCATTTATTCTTTGTCAGATGGATAGACAAGTAAATGGCATGTGACTATTTTAAAAGTCTGCAATGCACAAAACAGCAACAAAGACGACATTCCAGAAAGCCTAAATAACTGCTCTAAAATGAGCCTTTCAGAAACTGTAGAAAGGAGGAAATACAAACTGGCAGTGTCCAAATAGGTTCTATGTCTTCAGGTAAGAGGCTACCTTGAAGAATCCTTCACAAAATTATAGTACTTTCCTTTTCATTTGAAAAAGTTCTGTCTGTAGATTACTAATGTACTCATCTTACTTAGTATCTAAGTAAAAAGATGAAGCCTATGAAACAAATATAAATGCAATCTTTAGCTCCCCTAAAAGGAAAGAATCTACTAGTTGGTAAATTTATCCAAGTTTTGTTTTTTCCTTCCTGGCTAGCTAAAACAAAAAACAAAAACAAAAAACCACCAACTTACCAATAGACTAGCTCCAGACTGGAATAAGTTGTAGGGATAAAGAATACGTTCATAATGAGCACGGATGTGTGAACCCACTGCCTTGCCTGGAGCAAAACCCATTCTGATGGCTATTTTAGTCCATTTTCTCTCCTTGCAGACTAAGTCAAATCCACCTTCTTCTGCGACTAGCTATGAAGGAAAAATACAATGGTCACATACACAAAAATAAAGACATTAGTGTATAGAGATCTACTGCTAGTAAAAATAATAGGTTACAAAGGGAAGTTACTCATCTTGTACAGTAACGGTAGTTCTTCGAGATGTGTGTTCCCATGGGTGCTCCACTCTGGACACTGGTGCTTCCTCACGCTGGCGACCATAGACTTTTCTAGCAGTGTCTGCTGTGCACGCGCTATGGCGCCCCCTCATGCCATTAGTGTCCATTAGGCGCGCGCACGGCACAGCCCCTCCATTCCTTCTCTATCTGTGCTAGTAGAGCATGGGGCTCCAAAGCAGGGGAAGGAGGGAGGGTAAGGGAGTACCCATGGGGACACGCATCTCAAAGAACCACCGTTACTGCACAAGGTAAATAACTTTCTTTTTCGAGTAGTGTCTACGTGGGTGCTCTACTATAAAGCATAGTCAGCTCGTGGAGGCAGGTTTGGAGCCCTGTTGTTATCACTGAGAATAATACTGCTTGTCCCACAGCCATGGATGATGTGGTGGAGGATGCCAGAGCGTTATGTTGTGTGAATGTGTGGTCTGATGACCAAGTGGCTGTGGTGCAAATGTCCTGGAGAGGTACATTCTTGAGGAAGGCAGTTGTAGAAGACATGGCCCTGGTGGAATGGGCAGTGATGGTGCCAGGTGGTTCTTTGTTGTGGATGTGTGGGTGCATGAAGAGATCCACTTGGAGATGCTCAAAGAAGAGAGAGCGTGTCCTTTGGATCGTTCCGTGAAGGATAGGAAGAGTCTAGGAGATATTTGCCAGACTCTCATACGATCAATGTAGAACGCAAGCGCTCTACAGACATCGAGGGTGTGCCATGACGCATGTGACGGATCAGTGTGCATTTGGGGGAAAAACGCAGGTAAGTGTATCAGTTTGGTGATGTGGGCGGGATGGATTGTTATGTGTAAATATGCATCTTGAAGGTCTACAGACAAAAGCCAATCTCCTTGATCTAATGCTAGAATTATTGTTGCTAGGGTCACCATCTTGAATTATTGGTAAGCAACATATTTGTTGAGCTTCCTTAAATCCAGAATGGACCTCCATCCTCCATTTTTTTTCTGTATTAGAAAATAAGTTGAGTAGAACCCTCGGCCATGGAACTCTGTTAGTACCGGTTCTATGGTGCTTAATCACAGGTGGTGAAGCACCTCTTGCTCAAGGAAGGTCTTGTAAGAGGGGTCCCTGAAGAGGGATGGTGTGGGAGGATGGGTAGGGGAACGAGAAATGAAAGGGATGGAGTAACCATGGTGCAGGAGCTCTAGGACCCATTTGTTGAAAAGAGGGGCAGAGGCAGTGGCTGAACTGCGGATAATTGGTCAACGGTGTGACCACAAGGAAAGTGTCTTTCTAGCTCCCAATCGAACCTTTAAAGTTGCTGCTTGGATGTGGAAGGTTGGGCTGCTGCTGTTTGATGTTGTTGCTGGCATTGAGGCCTACATTATTGGGGCCTTTGTTTCTGTAGGAAACTGTCTGTATGGCTCTCTGGGTCTCTAGTAGTTGGTGTATCTGTCTCAAGTAGGGGGCGTGTACATCCCCAGGGTTCTTAGGGGAGCACAGGAGTCCTTCGTCGAATGAAGTACTTCATCGGTTTTCGCAGCAAAAAGATTGGTTTTATCAAAAGGTAGGTCTTTGACCTTCTGCTGCAAATCCCAGGGAACTCCTGATGCTTGGTGCCAAGATATTCTCCACATCACAACAGTCGAGGCTGTGACACGTACAGCTGTCTGCGCTACACCATTGTGGACTGTCGTGCAGTGTGAGAAATTGTATGGCCCTCCTGCATAACATTGAGGAGGATAGGCCTCTTGTGTTCAGGTAAGTATTGTATAAGCTCTTGAAGCTGGGAGTAATTAGAATAGTCATAATCTGCTAGCATGGCAGTATAATTCGCTGTTCTAAGGAGCAGAGTGGCCAAAGAGTACACTTTACGACCCATAATGTCCTTTTTTTTGTGGTCCTTGTCCTGTGGTGTTGATCTAATATTGGGTTGTCTGGTTTTGTGTCTAATGGAATCGACTACCAGGGACTTTGATGGAGGGTGAGTGAAAAGGAAGTCCATTCCCTTTGGTGTGATACAGTATTTTCGGTCCATTCTTTTATTGTTTGGAGTGATGGTGCTGGGGTCTTCCAAATGTCTGCTGGGTCCATAAAAGCTTTGTCCGTGGGGAGGGCGATCCTGGAGGAGATAGGAGGTTGCAAGGTTTGAAAGAGGCGATACAGTTTTTCCTGAACCTCCTGTAAATCTCGCTCTTTTGCTAACACTACCCTTTAAAAAGTTCTTGGAACTTCTTTGAGTAATCAGTTGGTGGTGGATATAATCACCTCATCTGGTGAGGACAAAGAATTATGCCAGGGGACCTATCTTCGTCCTCAGACAAAAAGTCCTCTGAGTCTGGGTTGGGGAGTTAGGCGCTGTTACAGATGTCATGGGTTGGGGGGAATGAAGTGGTTCTCTAGATGTTGTGAAAGGTGCGGTATGATGGCTCTTCCTATGAGGACGTGACTCCCATGATTGCCATTGCCCGGGGTAAGGGAGAGGCAGGTACGTGTAATGATGCGCATACCAGGGTGGTAATGATGGTGGATATGCATATGTAATAGTCCCAGTGTCCCAGGATGGCGCTCTCTGTGCTGGGCTGGAATGCCAAGAAGAAAAGACTAACAAGATGGTTTATTAGATGATGAGCTTTCGTGGGCCAGACCCACTTCCTCAGATCAAATAGTGGAAGAAAGTAGTCACAACCATATATACCAAAGGATACAATTTAAAAAAATGAACAAATATGAAAAGGACAAATCACATAGTCTTTAAAGTGCTACATTGTCCTGCATTTTGCTTCAACTACCCCAGACTAACACGGCTACATTTCTATCACTATTCAAGAAGAAAAGAGGCTGCATGGCTCAGTGCCGGCTTCGCTTGGGGAACGAGACAGGATTAGTGATCTGCATGAGTGCACCGACTGTATGGAGGAACCTGGAGATAACAGTGCCAGTGAAGGATGGCTCCTGATAGGAGACGTATGTCGTAGATGCTCCTGAGATGATACCAGGGTACACGTGTTACTCGGTGCCGTTGGTGCAGGAAGCATTAATTGTTGAGGAGGTGGCGGCATCTCAGTACAGGTTCTATTACGTGCCAAGGCTGGTGCCAACTGAGTTAGCGGCTTTCGTGTCAAGTAGTACTTATGTTGGCCTGGCGGTGCAGCTTGTTTTTGTTTAGGCTCCAAGTGCGCCCTCTTATGCAATGCTGGCATCTTGGGCAGTGCCATGCCCGATATGCCAGGCCTGTCCGCAATGCTGACCCTTCAAGGTTGTCGGTGCCAAGGGTAAGGATCAGGCTGGAGACAGTCTTGTTTTCAAGAGATATGCCAGGAGAGGTAGAGGGATGTGTTTTGTCCATACCTTTCGGCTCAGAAGTTGGCTTTGAGGCAGGTGGTGTGCCCTCAGAAGGTGGCTGGAGCGATCTTTCATAGAGGGAGGTTTTTAAACCTGTTCTGGCCGTCAATTTAGACTTGAGCAATGGGGACACGTATGTCTGGTGAGATTCTCTGAGACACTTTATGCACGCAGAGTGCCCGTCGGAGACGAGCACAGTATCCCAGCACGACTCTCACCTCTTGAAGCCAGGAAATCCCATCATCAGGCACAGCAAAAAGTAGAGGGTCTTAAAACTTGGAAATGTGAGGAAACTAAGGGGAAATAACCATTTTGTTTTGGTTTTTTGTCGTTTTTCTATAGAAACAGTGGGAAGGAGAGAAACTCCATCAGCTGCCAAGGATGGTAGAGAAGAAACTGAGGGGCCACACCCTGCGCGCGCCTAACAAACACTAAAGGCTCACGGTAAAACTACAGCACATGCGCGTCGCAGCAGACACTTCTAGAAAAATCTCCAGTCGCTGGCGCGAGGACACACGAGCACCCGGAGTGGAGCACCCACGGGGACACTATTCGAAGAAGAAAAAGCGTTCTTGCTGAAGCTGCTACTGTATGCAATACATACATTTCAACAAGAGTTTTCATGTTAAGAGAATTCTGTAGCTTAAATCCTTTACTCAGCTACTGTGAAAAATTAGACCTCAAAAAGTTCAGAGATTCCAAGGCCTGAAGGAATCATTGTGATCAGATGAAGTCTTATGTAACACAGGGCCAAAAACTTCCCCAAAGTAATGCATCACAATATTCATCAGAAGGGAAGACTAGGTGTGGGTTTATACTTCAGTCTACATGGAGGACTGTCTTAGGCTGCATTTCTGTGGTTTTACTACTGAATTAGCTTTCCGACACAACTTTTTAGTGTACTATTAATTGTTCTTGTCTAAAATGCATTTCACAGAATTGGTCACAGGGAGCTTAATCTTGCATTTAAAAAAAAAAAAAAAACTCTTCCAAACACAAAATTTCTATTGAAGTAGTTTACCAAAGACGACTTGACTTCAGTGTAGGAACAGAAGTAATACGCTATCTTTTGCAGTAAAACAAACAATTTTTTAAAATAGTCTTACCTTATTAAGTTGAAATAAATCCAAGATCTTCCTCTCTACATGTGGAATTTTCAGGGAACATCCTTGAAGCTCCCAAAACTTTGCAATCTGGTCCAGAAAATTCAGCTTCACACGGGTCTGAGCCTAACAAAAGACAGTCTGCTCTCAATATGCAGGTCAATTTAGCTTCCAACATTTTCATTAGAACAATTTCAAGTTCAGCTCTTTGGTTATGTTCCAAAATCCCTCTTTAAATGCATCTGCACCTAGTGGATAACAAAAAGCTAGATGTGACTGACTTTCTTTCATTTTTGTTTATTTGGGAAAGACACTAGATTGACTACACTGAAACAATCTCTCCAGCTATCCATAAGCTTTATCTATAAAGATATCTATAAGCTATAACTTTGTCATAGTATACCTGAACTCTAACAGGTCGATCACATTTTGATCGGAAAGGAAACTTCTATCTCCATTTGGTTTCTGACATCCCTGTTAATACCACCAATTGTAACTGGAAGACGTATGCACCATTTGAAGGTAATGGCTGGAATCAATTATTTTAAAAAGAGACTCACTATTCAATCTTTAGAGTCAATGTCACCTCCTCTGTATTCCATGTGTTAGGCCTGATCCATTTTCAATAACGATGTTCACTGGCTCTGTTAGGAAACCTACCCATCCAAAATAACTTAGTCACAGAGACAAGAAGTACAGAGGAAGATCTACAGATTGGCAAACCTTCCCTACTCACAGATGAGCACAGGCTATGCTGAGAGTATGCTTAGTACTTGTGTGTGAACGTTCAGGAGCAGCACCAGCCCCGCCAGTAGCAGTGTGGCATGCCCCTACTGGACAGTCTCCTACCCCCCGAATAAGCCCTCAAAATACTGCAGATTCATTTCCCGTGCAGATTTGTAGATTTACCCAAGTGCAAATTAATGAGATTTGCTGCACAGACTAATTTCCTTGTATGGAGGGATTCATCTTTCAATTTACCTTCACAAATTGTTTTTAAAAGTTAATAAATCTCAACACACATGCTTTTGGTGAACATTTGAATGGGTTGAAGAAATAGAATCACTGGCTATCAAAAGTGTTTTTACCCTACCTCATAATGCGTTTACTACCAAAATAGCAATAAAAAAAATTGCTTATCTTTTTTAAACCCTTCTTTGTCTGGAATTTTCTCTTTCAAATGTAAAATAAGTTATAAACTATTCCATCCAATAAAAAAATATTCCAACCTCAAACAGAACTTTACGTTTCTGCAGACTTCAGTGTTTACTCAATACCACCACTAACAAAGAGTCCTGGTACAGAGTTAATTAATTAGTTCAGCAACATAGTAGTAAATGAATCTTGTAGTGTGGGTTTTTCTGGGAATGTAAAAATGGCCAAAGGTCAATTTAGACTAGTATCCTATCTTCTGATAGTGGCCAGTGCCAGATGCCCTAGATGGAATGAATACATAGCTCATTCCCAGCTTCTGTTTTTTTGTTTTTTTTTTTAAAAAGGCTAGTACCTATCCTCCATGAACTTATCTAGCACTTTTTTTTAAGCCTAGTCATAGTCTTCGCCTTCACAACATCCTCTGGCAATGGGTTACATAGGTTGACTGTGCATTGGGTGAAGAAATACTTCTTTTTGTTTTAAACCTGCTGCCTTAGTTTCAGTTGGGCTATGTCTAGACTGCAGGCTTCTTTCGAAAGAGGCTCTTTCGAAAGCATCTTTCGAAAGAGCCTCTTTCGAAAGAGAGCGTCTAGACTGCACGGAGAAATTTCGAAAAAGCGGCTTGCTTTTTCGAAAGAAAGCATCCAGTGAGTCTGGATGCTCTCTTTCGAAGAAGCCCTATTTACATTGAAGAACGCCTTCTTTCGAAAGAGGAACTTTCGAAAGAAGGCGTTCTTCCTCGTAAATTGAGGTTTACCGCCATCGAAAGAAAAGCCACGTTCTTTCGAATTAATTTCGAAAGAACGCGGCTTGAGTCTGGACGCAGGGGAAGTTTTTTCGAAAAAAGGCTACTTTTTTCGAAAAAAAACCCTGAGTCTGGACACAGCCTTGGTGACCCCTACCTTCATGTATTATGAAAAGGAATAAATAGCATTTCCTTATCTACTCTGGCTACACCAATCATGATTTTATAGACCTCAATCCTATCTCCTGAAGCTGCCTTTTCCAAGCTGAGAAGTCCCAGTATTATTAATTTCTCCACATACAGAAGCCACTCCTTACACCTAATACTTTTTGTTGCCCTTCTCTAAACCTTTTCCAATTCCAAGATACCTTTTTTGAGATGGGGTGACCTCACCTACATGCAGCATTCAAGATGTGGGAATAACAGATTTATATATTTTCTGTCTTATCTCTTTCTTAATGATCCCCAACATTCTGTTTGCTTTTTTGACTGCTGCCACTTACTGCCAATGTTTTCAGAGAACTATTCACAGTGAATTCTAGATCTTTCTTGAGTGGTAACATCTAATTTAGCCTGGATCATTTTATATGTATAGATGGGATTATATTTTCCCATCTGCATTACTCTCTCTCCATATCCAAATTAGATCCTGGTAGTCTATAGCATACCCCAAGCACTATCCCAGGGGAGGATCTAATAGTTTTCTTCCCCAATGTGATTTTTGCCCAGACAGACTGTCTTCTCCATTCCATCACTTTTTATTTCTTTACAATCTACTTCATCATTGATATACAACAACAACATAAGAACAGCCGTACTGGGTCAGACCAAAGGTCCATCTAGCCCAGTAGCCTGTCTGCCGACAGTGGCCACCACCAGGTGCCCCAGACAGGGTGGACCGAAGACAATGATCAAGCGATTTGTCTCCTGCCATCCCTCTCCAGCCTCTGACAAACAGAGGCAGGGACACCATTTCTATCCCCTGGCTAATAGCCTTTTATGGACCTAACCTCCATGAAATTATCTAGCTTCTCTTTAAACTCTGTTACAGTCCTAGCCTTCACTGCTTCCTCTGGGAAGGTGTTCCACAGGTTGACTACACGCTGTGTGAAGAAGAACTTTCTTTTATTAGTTTTAAACCTACTACCTATTAATTTCATTTGGTGTCCTCTAGTTCTTCTATTTAGGGAACTAATAAGTAACTTTTCTTTATCAGCCTTCTCCACACCACTCGGCTACATCTACATTGGCCCCTTTTCCGGAAGGGGCATGGTAATTTTTGAAATCGCAATAGGGAAATCCGCGGGGGATTTAAATATCCCCCGCGGCATTTAAATAAAAATGTCCGCCGCTTTTTTCCGGCTTTTAGAAAAGCCGGAAAAGAGCGTCTACACTGGCCCCGATCCTCCAGAAAAA